GAGGTCTCACTTCGGTTCCCTCCACCAAATCCCAACAATCTTTTGCCATTAAGATTAATTGGACTTTGGTCTTCCAAGTTGTGAAGTTCTCGCCCGTGAACTTCTGGAGTAGCTTCTCCCATCCTGCATCCCAGTTGCCAGCCGGGATGGCCATGGTGCTTGCTAGGGTGGTTCTGGATGTAGAGCGAGGTGGAGTACTGGTAGCCATTATTTTCTAGGAGAAAGGACACGACAGCGGAGTAAGCTAGAAGCGAGGAGGGGGAGGAGGCGGTGGGAATCGCTGGAAGGGACGCCCACACGCTGTGCACACAGAGCGACAATGAGGGCAGAGGCACGGCTGGGCATCACGCTGCGCTCGCTTGCGGTCTTGAATCCGTCGTTCCACCCTAGCAAGGGCTGCGAGAGCCCTAGCGCGGTCCTGCTCGTCGCGTTGCTGTGTTTGCCAGTGTTTCGCCATCAGGATCGAAACGAACCCGATACCATGTAGATGTGTGATTTTTTGTGTATGCGGAATGCTCTGTCGACTTCATTGCTTTGGTATGGTTATGTACATAACGGTATGGGTGTGACGCTTGGCGGTTGGTGTCTTGGATGAATGACTTGTCTTCTTTGCTGACGTGGAGACTTGTCATCACTTGTCTCCACAGATACATGATGCCGAATGGAGCTGCCGATGTCTCCCGGTACGCGGTGCTGCCGATAGTCGATCTGGCGAGCAAGAGCTTCGAGAGGGATCTCGTTGACGCTTGCGCAAAGTACGGAATGTTCTACGTAAGTTTTCAAGAAGTGTCTTTTTCCTGTAGTACATGTTTGCTAAATGGATGTACTTCTTGTTCAGCTCAAGAACCACGGCATTCACACCGAGGACGTGATGAGGTGTGCTCTCGAGTTCTTCAACTCGCCCAGCGAGGACAAGATGCGGTACTACACCGAGGAGATCTTCACGCCCGTCCGCTACTGCACCAGCATGATGCCTTCGAAGGAAGAGAAGCTCGAGTGGCACGACCACCTCCAGATGTGGCTCAAGGAAGAGTCCCTCGGAGCGCACCCCTGGCCCGCGTTCCCAGCCAGCTACAAGTCAGTATCTCACTCCGTGATTATGGTATTGCTCTAGATTGCTGATGCTCTATATGCAACAGGGACGTTGGATCCGAGTACGCCAGAAACATCTTCAAGCTCGGGAAGAGGATGCTGTTGGTCATGTCTGAGGGACTTGGCCTCCGCACAAACCGTCTTCTGGAAGCATTTGAAGACATGGTTCTTCTGACGAGAGCCAACTTCTATCCGGCTTGCCCGAATCCGAGGCAAGCCTTGGGGATGGAAGGTCACACCGACAGTGGTGGCCTCACGTTTGTGCTCCAGGATGGAGTCGGGGGATTGCAGCTCAAGCAAGGCGAGGATTGGTACAATGTGAGGCCACTCGAGGGAATGCTGGTGGTTAACATGGGCGATCAGCTAGAGGTACCAGCAGTCGAAAACTTTTTGAGAAACTGTGGATTGATCTTAGTCTTGGTTGGTTGTCTTGTATCAGAAGCTGAGCAATGGGAGATACAAGAGCATACTGCACAGGGTGATGGTGAACTCGAAGAGCTCGAGGCTGTCCGTTGGGGCGTTCCTGGGGCCGTCACTAGATGCGGAGATCAGCCCGATTCCAGAGCTGGTGAGCCAGGAGAGTCCGGCAAAGTACCGCAGCAGGACTTACAGGGACTACATGCACGAGGTGTACACGGAGCACTTCTCCGGGAAGAATGTCTATGTGGCTTGAGCCTTGGATAGTCATAGGCACCAATTTTTTTCTCATCTCACAGATTTTTGCTCACAAGGATCTTAATGTGATAAGCCACATACGAAATTTGCTCCCTTGACCGACTGTGTGCTGCCTAGAAGGTCGTCAAAGCTTTACAATCACACTGTGTGCTGCCTAGAAGGTCGTCAAAGCTTTACAATCACACTGTGTGCTGCCTAGAAGGTCGTAAAGTTTAACAATCTGGGAGGGAATAACAATCGTTAACACACACACGAAAATAGCGCTTTTCCATCAGGTGTCCACTGTTTTTATTTTCATTTTCTTTAGATTTTCAGCTGCGTCAAGTCCAGTGAAAACCACACCGACAATCAGCTTGAACTTCGATAGAAAATTAAGAAATTTTTCCCTGCAGTCTTCAGCAAGAGCGAGCAAGGACCTCAGAGTGGCCTGGGCGAACGTGAGCGTGGGAATGGAAGGAGAGAGAAGACCACAACAATCTTGGAAACTTGTTTGCACAGTCTCCAGAGATGCTCGAATGCGATCCATGAGTCGAGAGCGACGTAACTTGAGAAGTTCGAGTTGTGGTGCACCTTCGAAAGAGCTGCATGGAAAATTATCGCCCCTTGTATGCCCTTGGAAATCTAGGGTTTTGATGTGGATGTGGGAGTACGATTGTGTGGAGCGCCCTTTTTGGAGAGTGGAGCGATCGCGCGTGGGCGATGCAGTGCCTAACACCAGCGAAATTCTCGCCGGGATTCAAGAGAATATGAGCAGGTTTGTGAATCTTCCCGAGGAGCAGCGGCAATGGGCGGAGAGTGTCTACTCGAATGGGGAAGGATTGGAGCTTTTTCTTTTCCAGGTGAACGCCATCGAAGGCGAGGGCTTTGAGTTGTATAAAGAGACCCAGGAGGCGATTGCCGCAGGCGCGCTGCTGGATGGCTCTCAAGATATGAGCCAAGAGGCTGAAGCCATGCGTTGCCTCCACAGGGCATTTGCACACCAGCTCCAAGGAAGCAATCCAAACTTGGCACCGAGGTTGAGCGTTTCTGGAATTCTGGATGCGCACAGGTGCCTGATGGGCTCGAGCAAGGCAGGCATCGCCGGGAGGCTGAGGCGAGAGGACGAGGTTGCCTTCACCATGACGACACTGAACTTGCCGCATGTTTTCATGTGGCCTTCGGACGTGGAGGGAGCTCTTCACAGGCTCGTGGATGAAACCAATGGGGAGCTAGAGGAGCTCTTCGCGAGAGATTGTCACGACCGGACTGAGAGACTTCTCAAGCTCGGGGCACGGTTCTTCCTCGAGTTTGAGAACATCCATCCTTTCAAGGATGGGAATGGAAGAATCGGGAGAGTACTGCTCGCAAAGCTATTGCAGTCACTTGCGCCGTTCCCGAATACCTTGTTGGTGGAAAGTATGAAGCAGGACCCTCCGTTTGTGGACGGGGATGACTACCGGGAATGCTTCGAAAGGGCCCAGGCAGAGCAGGAGTTCGATCGTAGCGAGGAAGGTGGCGCGCTGAGGTTGACGAGAGAGGGCGCAGTGAGCAAAACTTCTCCTCCAGAGGATCTGGCGGCTTTGGTGGTGGAAGGCTTGTACTTGGGGTGGAAGCGCCTGTTTAAGGCTCTTGGGCAACGTTATGGGCATGAAGTGGAAGTTCCAGTGACAAGGGCATGGAAACCAAAGTGGTGGGAATCACGGCAGTCCCTGGTCCAGGCATGAAATACTTGTTTTCCACTAGAATAGATGGCCACATAGTGCCTATATGCCGCATCCACTGTCTCACAGCCGCTTAAGTTGTGAAAAAAATGCGGTACTATGAGATGAACTCACGCCTAATTTTCTCCTGGGGAGACATACGATTTTGTCAGGGGTACGAACAATGATTTTTCTAGCAAGGAAGAAGGTTGGTTTAACATCGGCGTCAATTTTGCTCTTGATCTGGTATAGCTTTTCGTCAGATCTCGGATTTGTGCTAGCTATCCTCTTGTTTTTTATCTCTCTCGACAGCCTTCAATGTCCCAAGACTCAAAATATTGCCCAACCTCGGCTTCCCGTTCTGCTCATCTCCATGACGTTGCTCACTAACTCCCAGTCGCTTGTCTTGGCTCTTACCTCTTGAGGGCGTGGAGCTCAAGTTTACCTATTCGAACAACGGCCACAGCATGCGGATATCAAGGTTGAGGCCTAGAGAATGGATTACCATTGCCATACTAGCGGAACAGTTGGGAGCAGAGACTCTAATTGAGGTCGTGAAGTACTTACTCATATTGTCGTGCTGTCCTATTCTGGTGATCGAGTTGGCCAGACCACATATACGAGTTCGGGGAGCTGCAACATACATCGACAAGCCTGCTTACCAGTTTCACTCCGTTCCTTGTTATCTACAAGTTCTTCAGGACTCTGACCATCTCCCTACACTGTCCAGGGCCTTGGCCTCCATTGGTGACCTCATGCTCTGTTTTATGGAACCTTGACTCTAGGGAAACAGTTGCCGTCAAAGATCAGGACGCTGCGAGAGCAGGAAGCAACCATCGTACAGAGGACTCGTGCACAAGCAGCGAGTAATCTACGTCTGATGAGCTTCTGTTTAGAGTAGGGCGGCCTTGGATGTCTCCCCGTGTCATCAAGTTCTCTCAGCGATATGAAATCAACATCCAGCGGAGTTTTTCATGATAGATATGGAGTTTTTCCCCGAGGAGGACGGTTGGATTCCCTCATTGCAGGCGTCTGCTGCAGCGATTTTGCAAAGAGCAGGAAACATACTTTACAACACTGGAACGTGTGGGCTGGTCTTCATCGATTTGGATTCACTTATAACATCCAGATAATCTGGCCTCTTGCCGTTGATACTCGATTTGAAGTGTTTGATTTCAAATAGTCTAGTACTGCAAGCGCCACCAAGATAAACTTCATTTCCTGCATTTAACTGTTTAAATGGTCTAGGTTATCGTGTCCTAGACGATCTGTACAATATAAAAATTGATTTTGATAATGAACCTGATTTGGATGTCCCTGATAGCATACTTTCCTCAACGCAGCTCTCCCCATGCTTCTCCTCCCCGAGTTTCAAGCATGCCGTGAAGAATGCACTCGTGATGGATCTGAATGTCAAATGAGAGCTCATTTCTTCTCCATTTGCTACATTTTCCATCAACCATCTCCAAAACAGATTACCCGGAGTGCTAAACTTACTTTGTTGCTCTGAAGGCCAGACTATCACCTAGATGTTCTAGCACGAAGAATAAGGTTTCAAACAGCCAGATTTTCATAAACAGGGACAAAAGAAAGACAGACAAAGAAGACAAAGAAAGACAAAGAAAGACAAAGAAGCTGAATTTCGGATCCTGGAAAGTGATAGCGTGGAACCAGGAGAGTCCGTGCCGAGCGAAAATATTTCTCAGCGGACAGCTTTCTTAGGCCGACATTCTTGACAAGCGCCAATAGCAAGCGAACTGGAAAGGTAGCCCAGCTTAGATTCTCTTTAAATTTCTGAATTCCTCCAATCACGCAAGCCAAAATTGGTCCGAGTTGACCAGGGAATCTGAGTCCGCGTCAGAATTCTTGCTGACGAACAAGTCATCAACTTTCATTTATTTTATGTTGAATTGGTATCGACAAGAATAATTGGGCCTACAGTTCGGAAAATTGTTTTGGAGCTCTAGAGCCTAATCTAGCACACACTCACTTGCCTGTAGTGGCTGGGCCTCCCATCCGGATACCTCACAAGCGCCATCTCGAACCCGTCACGCTTGAGCAGCATCTCATGCTCGAGCTCCCAAGCCAAATCTCCCACACCCGATCCCCATCCCCGGATGACCTTGGAGTGCAGCAGCAAGAACTTGCCATCGGCCAGCTCCACGACTGTGTTGTGCCACGGCGTCGGTATGTGGAAGTTCCTCTCCTCGGAGGAGCGCTGTGCCGCCACGAGCGAGGAGTGAATGACGTTGATGCCGTACTTGGGGCCGCGGTTTGGATGCGGGTGGATGGAGACGCGGAGCTGCAGTGGAAAGAGCCACTCCACCATCGCCGAGTAGGCGCGGTTCCTCAGGATCATGAGGAAGCCGACTTGGCTGCACAGCTTCTTCTTGGCCGACTTCGATGGGAGACTCTTGCAGCTCTTGTGCTCGTAGAGATCCTCAAGCATGAACCTGGAGAAGCCGCGGTACAAATTGCGCGTCTCCGGGTCCTCCTTGATGTCCCTGTGCACGGCCGACTCGTCACTTCCAAACAAGCGGATGAGAGCTCGTCTCGCTGTCTCGGCGTTGGAGGTGAGGTCGGTGGCGACGGGATGCTCCAGCTCGGTGCCGGAAACGAGCTCCTCTATGCTCTCGTCGCTGTGGTTGTCCAGCAAGAATTCGTCTAGGCGGTAGAAGCTGACCAAGCCGGGATACAAATCGTGCGCCATCTCGCGAAACATCTCTCCGTATGTATCCACGGTAGCATCGTCAGATCCAACTGCAAGAACAGAGCTTTAGTCATGAAAAGAGCTTGGATCGATCGTATGATCTTTACCGAGATCAGAGAAGACATGGCCATCCGAGACGACGTTGTAGTGCACACCGGGGGCGTACACGGCTTTGATGAGGTCCGCGACAATCTTCATGGAATGAATTGCGAGCTCCTCGGCCTTGTCGGGGTATTTCCCCAAAGTCTTGTCGGAGTTGCACGACTTCACCGGGAAAGCTGGAAGGATGAACTCGAGAGGAACGTTTCTTGCGACGTGATACCTCACCTTGTCCGCGAACCTCTGCTTGCCCCCGCTAGTGAACCACTGGTCGTGCCTTGGGAAGTGGATGTAATTTGCCTCGATGATGTCCACCACCTTGGAGGCGATCACGTCCACCTCGAGTGGAGTGTGCGATGCGAATGGCTCCAGGAGGCAATCCCTCGTCATGACGCTGTTGTCCAGCAGGAGAGTGGCCAAGTAATCGGTCGCGCTCGACTCCAGCGCTGGTTCATCCATGGAGAAAACCACGCCCTCGAATCCATTGCCAATGTATCTCTCGTACACAGTCGCCTCCCAGCTTGATGAGCTCGCGGCGTCAAGAAAGGATATATTGTACTTATGGATCTCTGGAGCGGTGGAGCGCGTGGCGTTCTTGGCCGCCTCTAATTCCGCGGCCGTGCTCGCAACCATGGAAGAAAACACGAAACCATCGCCTCCTTGATCGGCAACCGGGACATGCCATGATGCGGATTGGGAGATGAAGCACACCTCGCCCCTCTCCCTGTGGATATACATGAACGCGATCTTGTCCTTGGGATAACCCATGATGGAGAGCTGATCAATGCGTGAATTCACACTCTATGAGAATGTAGTTTGATCAAATAAGAAATTGCTAGAAATGCGTTGAGGCGGTTCTTGGGTTTCTTTCTTATAGGTGGCCAAGCCGTCCAACTCTGACGAAAATAGTTGTCCGTGGTTGGACTGTTCTCTCTGAATAATATTGTATTATACGTTGATGGGTACGTGTGGGTACTAGAGACCAGTTCTTGAGCAAGTAGCTTCTCGCTGCTTTCCAGATCCTTTCATGCAAGCTTTCGGAAGCACATGTCTAAATTGATCAATATTAAAGAATAGAAGGTTCGTGTGCTCAAATAATTCCTGCAAAATTAACTCTTAAAACATGTAAACGAGTGGCATACAAAGTTTGACCACTCTGTGCTGCAATTGCTCAAATTTGGTTTTGATTTAGGCGGCTAAATCAACCAAACCGACTAACCGAGTAACAGAGTGACCAGGCGAGTAAACATAAAAGTCCAAAACGAGCAAAGACAACATTCTTTGACCATCCCCGGTTTACGTAACCGTATCTGCCCTACGCAAATTTGCCAGCGTTCCTACGTTGACATGAAAGCATGTATGGCGGCAAGGTTCACGGCCAAATCCATTGGCAGAAAATGCATCCTTCATGCAATGTGAACAATCCACACGTCTCAGCTTTTGATTTCCAGCTTTGGACTTTTCCAGTGTAGTTTCTTATATGCTAGTCTGTTATATGTTGTTTTTTCAGCCCTCTCGTTTGAGAATTTACACTTGTCCTTTCAGCGGAAAATGTAGTATTGACTCATAACATTTGCCTGTACACCTTTTGACATGGGAAAAATCTAGGAATCAGCAAGTCGACATGTAGGCCACCGAAAGTTTTTTGTCCCTTATTGAGTTTTTCCGAGAACTCTCTGATAAGCTTTAATTTACACGAAATCTAGTTGATTACAAGGATGCAGCGGGATCCCTCTCAAGCCCAACGTCATGAGATGGCGCATGAGATCAGCAGGCCTGATCAAGGACTAGTGAGACTTCGCAACCTTTCTCGGCAACAATGACTTCCAGCTTCTCGCGTAAGAACAACATGGCGAAAACTTCCAGGATGAGGAATGTGAGTGCCATTCCCGATCCAGTCTTTGAACGTCTTGGCTGGATGGAAGTCATGGCTTGGAGCTTGATCCAGCTGCAAGTGTAAGTGACCAAAATTGACCAGTCAAAGCGACTCCAGTCTAGGAATAGGTTTGATTGTTTTCGAATTCTTTGGCGGGAGACTCTAGGTAAGAGCTATGGAGCGGCTCGATCCGGGCTTCGTCGCGACATTCGACGGCACCAAGGATTTCCTGTGCTTCATGTCGGCTCGATCGGGCCTGTGGCGCACCATCCCAGCGCCGTCCGTGCCCTGGGACGATCTTGTCGCCGCCGATGGCTGGCTCGTGCTGTTCCAGAGGAGGATCGCCGAGGGGGTAAGAAAAACGGTGTTTCTAGTTTTCGACCCAGGCAAGGGCAGCTGCGAGGAGCTCCCGGCGATGGATGGCGAGCCATTCCTGGCGGGATTTAGCATGGACCAAGCGTCCAGGCGGTACAGGGTCGTGGTGGATGGTATAGGCAGGGATTTTCTTCCAGAAGGAAGAACTGGGTCGATCGATGGTGATGGATTTCTCTACAAGTCAGAGGGTAAGGCGTGGAAACGGCTTGAAAGCTCTCCAACGTTTTGGGAGAAGAGACCCAATGGACCTGCGTGTAAGGATGGCGTGATTTGGTGGCGCCTGGGCAAGGAGATCCGGAGCTTCGACGTTGCCCAGGAGAAGTGGTGTAAGTGGTGTGCTGCCCAGGAAAAGGATGAATCGATCGACCGGGAGGAACGCAAGCGGCAGAGAAAAGAAGAGATTCCGCGAGTGCGTGTGGGCTACGCGGGAGCAAACATGGAAGTTCTCATGGATTGCGGCAACACCCTCTTTGCGAAAGGCTCTCCTCCCTGGCCTGGTCCGAAATGGCTGAGAGCTCCCGGCTGCCACGCAGAGATGCGCGTCCAAAAGCAGGAAAACCACGGCGTTTGCATCCAGCTCGCAAACAACTCAAGCTTCGCAACCCAGGGAGATAGCTCCAGAAATCCCAAGGGCTGGGCGATTTGGCCACACTGTCCACTCCGCAAAGGCATGCTCTCCCTCTACCCTCTCAAGATCGACACAGGCAGCAGGGCCATCTCGAGATTTGTTCCGGAGGAGCAAAAGGTGGCAGGTCCTGGCTTCGTAGCCGCCTTCAAATGCATCAAGAACTTCCTGTGCTTCTACTCGATCGAGAGCGAGACTTGGAGGAGAATGCCAGCTCCATCGCCGGCTTGCTGGGACGAGCTCGTAGCGGCCGATGCCACACTGGTCTTGCTAAAGAGGAACTCGAGAGGTGCCGGTTTGGAGTTCGTGGTCTTCAACCCGGCAACCTGTTCGTGTCTGGAGCTCCAAGCTTGCGGGTTTCTCGAGGACGAGGCCTACATCACGGGCTTCTGGGTGAGCGACGCAGCCGACGGCCTTCCATGTTTCAGCATTGTCTGCGCCAAGCATGAGGATAGCCAGGACGCCTACGTCTATACTTCCCAGAGTGGATCCTGGAGAAAGTCGCAAGCCATGCCAGACCTCGGTGGATGCTTTGCTCTTGCCGGAGCACGCAGCCGGCCAGGGAAGTACTCGTGGCGCCTGGAAGACGACTGCTTCGAGCTGCAAGGGCTGCTGACGTTCGACTTTGCGACCGAGGCGTGGTCGGTGCTCGCCAAGTCGGAGTGTAGTTTTCGGTTCCAGAGGAGATCTCTCAAGAACAGGGACTGGATAGAGGCCGTCTATGCGGGGGCTGGCGACTTTGGGGACCTCAAGCTTGTCCTGGACGACGACAACCTCGACATCTACATTCTCAACGGAGATGGCACCCAAAAGTGTGCCAAGCTTGCCTCGGACGTGTGGGACTACGAGTGGAGTGGCATCGCCGGGAAGACAGTGGAAGTGATTCTTCACGGAGTGCGTGCTCGGCGGCAGGGAAGCGTGGTGTGCATCCAAGTGGAGGGCCAAGAGTGCGTGGCCATGAAGGATCTCCGAGCAGGAAATGGATCACAATGGATGATGTGGGATCACTGTCCACTTGAGAAAGAAATGGTGGATCTCCATCCTTTGAGTTTAGACTATTGTTGACCAAGCGCAAACAAGTCAACCTTACATAGTCAGCCCAAATCAAATACCATCTTTGACTAGATTCCCAGTGCAAAGAATGGTGTTAATGGTACATACAAAATCAGCGGTTACGAGTAGCATTACATTGCTTTCATGGGCCGACCCGCGTCTTTGTCACGTCCACAACTGCGAAGAACAAACGCGAGCGTTTAGCACTGCAAGATCTCCTCCTCCTATAACGTACCGGTTACAGCATTCCCGGGATGCGTAGTTATGGTTGTCACAGTTTGTACAAATCCAATCTCCAGCGCGCCAGTGTTTGGCTCTGAAGAGCAAAACAAGTGATTCAATGGTATCAAAGCTCGAAACAACGTGAGAGATCTACGCACCCCTTTCCGACGTTTGGAGGGTTTTGCAACGCTGCCGCTGCTGCTGGATTGGGAAGTCCCAGGTTTGGGATCAAGTTGAGCCCTCCGAGGACAAGCCCTGAACGGTCGTTCCATCCTCCGCAAGAAGTAAAAGATGCCTGCAAAAGAATCAGTGAGAGCGTTTAAACAGAAAAGCATGAGTTACTTACCATGTAGGCCTGGTGCAAGAGATCAACGTGTGGACGCTTGGTTACCCAATCGTTTGATAACTCATCTGAGGCCTGGCGCTTCACCCCAGAAACTAAAGTTTCCGGCACGAGACACAAGAGGAACGTGAGTGAGAGTTGTGGCAATGCGTAGCTTTGAATACCTTGATATCCAACTGTACCCAAGTTTTGTTGCGGCAATGCGATCGCTGGCAAAGAATGACATTGTTTGCACTGCACAGAGCAAATCACAAACAGCTTAAGAAAAGGAATAACCAAGAAAGGATTTTGAGAGACATACCGTGGTTCTCGAAGCATAGTTCACGTAGCCGCAGGTGCACGTCCAGTCCCCAATCCGCCAGTTACCACCGCCTCCGCCACCGCCACCAACACCTCCTAAAGTGTTGTCACTCAAGCGGACGCTTCTGGCTAGAGCAGCAGCGTTCATGTTCCAAGTGCCGAGCGAGATTGGAGCCGGCATGATCCCCATGTTGAGGCCCAGCGCGGCTCCATTGGCGAGAGGCGCCGAGACCGCGGCACCCGACCCGGCGGCGGCGGCTACAGACAGTGGCAAGGCTGCGACGTCTCTGGGCTTGCCACACTTGTTACATTTGTCTCTCGAGGCATAGTTGTTGTTGCTACAGCCTTTTGGTACGTAGTAGTAGTAGTACACACACCACCACACGACGTACGCACACACCAGCACCGCGGGAGAAAGAAAGACGCTTGCACGAGCAAGCCATCATCCAGTAAGGCGTCCCCACGCAACACAGCAAAACCAGAAAACAAAAAACAAACGCACCCGGATCACGCCAGCTTGAACAGCTGAATTCGAAAAAATCGAAAGAAAAAGAACCAAAGAAGAAGGGAAGAAAAAAAAGATGGTCTTTCTAGTGCTTGCTATTGCTACTGCTACTGCTACTACTGCTACAAATGAGCACACACCTTTGCAGGACGCAAACACTTGAGCACGCAAACGCAAACACCAAGGGGAGGAGAGGATTTACAGACCCGCGCATATCCAGTCGCCAATCCGAGGAAGCCATTTGGAATCCGGGGGCGTGTCAGTGTCGACCAGAATTCTCGGCTGCTTGCACCGATTGCACAGCGACCGGAACGCGTAGTTCCGGTTGGAGCAGCCGGAGCACTTCCAATCACCTTCCCTAGCTCCGCTGGATCTTGTCATCGCTGCAAGCAAGACGGAACGAAATCTCAGGGATTTCCGCAAGAAATGCGAACCAGGAACAATGCGGCGGCCGTAGATCTGAGAGATTACCTGGTCGACTGTCGACAGATCCGGCAGCGCGCGCTCACCCACCGCTCGCTCGCCCAAACTCCCACGCAAAATGGACAAACCCTAGCTAGACCCTTTCGAAAGAGAATAGTAAAAAAAGAGAAACCGCCAGTGACCGGTATCGAACCCGGGACTGGTCTAGCGATCGAGACGTTGGCTTGGCATTTTTGAGCATAACATTTGTTTGTCGCTGGTTCCCACTATCATATCATCGTCGTGGTTCTTCCCTATATTTTAGCTCTAGGAATTCCTCGCGAAGGCGCTGCTCGTGGCGATGCTCGTGCTCGTCGGTGATTATCCGCGTAATACTCCTCCAGCTCCAGATCTCCGGGTATTTCATTGCGATCGCAGGGATCCGGATCCGGGGGGTAGGGTTTTGTAGATTCACGCCAGGAATCGGTCATCGCCGAGCCACATTGCCGTATCGCGGAAGAAATCAGGTCAAGAAATGGCGTCTCCGTCGTCTTCTCTGTCGATCACAGGTGGAAAATCCTTCCGGAAGCTCATCAGCCCGAAATCCTTCAAGACGGCGACGACTCCTTCTCCCAACAGCAGCGGCACAAGGCGCACATCCAGCGGCCGCTACATGACGCTGTCCAAGGACGATCAAGATCTTGGAGGAGAGGTGAGCTCCGAGTTTAATCCCAGCTATCATGTCCACATTCCTCCAACACCGGACAATCAGCCAATGTCCGCCACACCCGCCGACCAGATCCTCGCCGCCAAGGTGGAGCAGCAGTTTGTTTCCAACACGATCTTCAGCGGTGGATTCAACAGCGTGACGAGGGGCCATGTCTTGGAGAAGATGGTCGAGGCCGACGCATCCCATCCCCAAATGGCGTGCGCTAGGAGCGGGGTGTGCTCGGTGGAAGGCTGCGATGGGAAGTCCATGAGGGACGAGAGGGGCGAGGACATCACCCCTTGCGAATGCGCGTATAGGATCTGCCGGGAGTGCTATGTGGATGCGCTGGAGAGCACAGGGAAGTGTCCCGGATGCAAGGAGGCGTATAAGGTGATCGATCCAGACGGGGAGGTCTTGCCACTGCCGCCACCCCCAGGGAGAGTTGACAGGAGGCTCTCGCTGCTCAGGTCCAGCAAGCCATCGCTGCTGATGAGAACACAGACGTCCGACTTCGATCACGCTCGATGGTTGTATGAGACCAAAGGGACTTACGGGTATGGGAACGCTCTCTGGCCCAAGGACGAGGCTTACATGGAGAGTGGAGATGATGGAGCTCCTCCGAAATTCAACGAGAAGGCGAGGAAGCCGATGTCTAGGAAGACAGGGGTGTCTGCTGCGATTCTTAGTCCATACAGGTACGCACCTGCTTTTTGGTTTTTTAAGATTCTCATGTCTTGGTTCTTTACAGACTTCTCGTGATCGTCCGGTTGGCAGTGCTGGGACTTTTCTTGGAATGGCGGGTTCGACATCCCAACAGAGATGCGATGTGGCTGTGGGGAATGTCGGTGGTCTGTGAGATCTGGTTCGCCTTCTCTTGGGTTTTGGACCAGCTGCCCAAGCTCTGTCCCGTCAACCGTGCCACCGACTTGAACGCGCTCAAGGACAGGTTTGAAACTCCGAGTCCCGAAAATCCCAGGGGCAGATCGGACCTTCCAGGCATCGATGTGTTCGTATCTACTGCTGATCCTGACAAGGAGCCAACTCTGGTGACGGCCAACACCATCTTGTCGATTCTAGCTGCCGAGTATCCGGTGGAGAAACTTTGCTGCTATCTTTCCGACGACGGTGGTGCATTAATCTCTTTCGAAGGTCTGGCCGAAGCAGCTAGTTTTGCCAGGTTCTGGGTTCCTTTCTGCCGGAAACACGATATCGAGCCTAGGAATCCAGAGACTTACTTTCTTCTGAAGGGTGACCCGACGAAGAACAAACTGAGGTCGGATTTTGTGAAGGACAGGAGAAGAGTCAAGCGAGAATACGACGAGTTCAAGGTCCGCATCAATGGACTACCTGATGCAATCCGAAGAAGATCCGACGCCTACAATGCTCACGAGGAGATACGAGCCAAACGTTACCAGATAGAAAGTGGTGGTGATCCAAGTGAGCCGCTCAATGTTCCGAAAGCTACTTGGATGGCTGATGGCACCCACTGGCCGGGAACTTGGACGTCTTCGAACAAGGACCACAGCCGAGGAGATCATGCTGGGATCATTCAGGTACGCATTGTTTTCTATTACATTGTCTCTTTCTTAACAACTTTCCTTTCTCTCGTTGCAGGTTATGCTCGCTCCACCAAGTAGCGAGCCTCTCATGGGAAGCTCTGACGAAGACAACCTCATTGACACGTCTGAGCTTGACATCCGGCTTCCGATGCTTGTTTATGTTTCAAGGGAGAAGAGGCCGGGATACGACCACAACAAGAAGGCAGGCGCCATGAACGCGCTTGTGCGAACGAGTGCTATCATGTCCAACGGTGCCTTCATCCTGAACCTTGACTGCGACCACTACATTTTCAACTCTCTTGCGCTGAGGGAAGCAATGTGCTTTATGATGGACCGAGGAGGCGACAGGCTTTGCTACGTCCAGTTCCCGCAGCGTTTTGAAGGCATCGATCCAAACGATCGCTACGCCAACCACAACACCGTGTTCTTCGACGTCAACATGCGGGCACTGGATGGTGTACAGGGACCAGTTTACGTGGGGACTGGCTGTGTTTTCAGAAGGATAGCGCTGTACGCGTTCGATCCTCCACGACACAAGAGTCGTGGTTGCTGCGGTGATAGAGACAGCAAGAAGAAGTCGGCCAAGTCGGATATCGAGATAGCATCTTTGAACGGTGGAGACGACGAAGATGCGGAAGCTCAGCTGGTTCCAAAACGGTTTGGAAATTCTATCAGCTTTCTGGAGTCGATACCCGTGGCGGAATTTCAAGGTAGGCCACTGGACGCACAAGGTGTGAAGTATGGAAGGCCTCCCGGAGCTTTGACAGAGCCTCGTGAACCACTGGATGCTGCAACCGTGGCTGAAGCTATCAATGCCATCTCTTGCTGGTACGAGGATAAAACGGAGTGGGGACACAGAGTAGGATGGATTTACGGCTCGGTCACAGAAGACGTGGTAACTGGCTTCCGAATGCATGACAGAGGCTGGAGATCGGTCTACTGCGTGACCAAACGAGACGCCTTCAGGGGAAGTGCTCCTATAAACTTGACGGACAGGCTGCACCAAGTCTTGCGATGGGCTACCGGGTCAGTGGAGATTTTCTTTTCACGCAACAACGCTCTGTTTGCAAGCTCGAGGCTCAAGTTTCTCCAGCGGATAGCCTACTTGAACGTCGGGATTTATCCGTTCACGTCGATCTTCCTTCTGGTCTACTGCTTCCTCCCGGCACTGTCGCTCTTCACGGGCCAGTTCATCGTCCAGACGCTCAACGTCACCTTCCTGGTCTACCTCCTGACCATCACGGTGACGCTGTGCCTTTTGGCTGTGCTGGAGATCAAGTGGTCGGGCATCACACTGGACGAATGGTGGCGGAACGAACAGTTCTGGGTCATTGGAGGAACCAGTGCGCATCTGGCAGCCGTGCTCCAGGGGCTACTCAAAGTCATCGCTGGTGTGGACATATCTTTTACTCTGACGTCCAAAGCAGGTGGAGAAGGCGAAGATGACGCTTACGCCGACCTCTACATCGTCAAGTGGTCTGCTCTGATGATTCCTCCGATCACCATCATGATGACCAACTTGATAGCGATCGGGGTCGGAGTTTCGAGGACGATTTACAGCGAGATTCCCCAGTGGAGCAGGCTACTCGGCGGAGTGTTCTTCAGCGCCTGGGTGCTGTTCCACCTCTATCCGTTTGCGAAGGGACTCATGGGGCGACGAGGGAGGACTCCGACCATCGTTTTCATCTGGTCGGGACTTCTCGCCATTGTCATCTCACTGCTCTGGGTGTCGATCAGCCCTCCGTCTCAAGCTCAAGGCATTGGTGGTGGCTTCCAGTTTCCGTGAGTTTACTCTCAGGTATGGTTTAAATCCAACTTTTTCTTTTCAACTTAAGACGACGTTCTTGCTGACTTGATCTCGTGTATGCAGGGGCCCTCTGTCTGTACAAAAATGATATTCTCTCGCTTGATTCAGCCCCGATTGTCAAGAGCGACAGTCCTGGCAGTGACATTCCAGTTGCCAAGCGTCCAGCAATTCCAGCTGCTTGATGTGCACATCGTTGTCGATCTCGAGGTGGTCTCTCAAATCGCTTATTAGCTTCTCCTGGCCCCAAGTCAAGCCGGTGCTCCTCGAACGAAGCGCTCTCAGCACGCACGAGTAAGCCTTTCTCTGGATGTACTTGATCATGCAGTATTCCTCCCCGGGTCCTCCTTTCCCTCCCTGCTGCTTCTCCTCTTGCCGGTTTTCTTCCCTTCCTTTCGATAGCTGCTCCTCCTCCTGTTGCTCCGGCTCGCGAGTCCCATTCCTCCTCTCCCCCCGATCGTCAAGGTCCGAGCTTTCAAGATCCTTCCTTTTCCTCCCGTTCACGGCCGGACTGTCGAGGTCCGAGACGTTCAACCTGTCTTTACTGTTCGTTCCCGCCTGTGGTGAGCCCGGGGGTGTCAAGTTCGCATTGTCTTGCGAATGATCGCTGGGTGACTTTAGAGGCACCCCGTCGTTGAGCTCTTCTTGCTGGTTGACGTTGTGCTCCGCCTCCTCGTCCTCCTCGTCATCTTCGTCGTCTCCCCTGCGCTGCTGCTGCCGCTGCTGCTGCTGCCTGTCTTCTCTGTTGGAAACTGGCACCCTTCTCTCCGAGTAGCCCCGAACTTGGTACTTTGGCTGGGTGTTCTTCCGGCGATAAGCCTCCAAGCACGGATTCCTCTTCTGCGGGTGGACAAGCAAGCGAGCATAGCGTCAGCGATCCAGCGCAAAGACGAAGTAACCAATGCAGGAGGAAAAACAAGAACCAAAACCTTAGAACTCAATACTTTGGACGAGGAAGAGCAAAGAAAACTCTCAGCAAAGAAAGATCTCGGTTGAGCACCGGTACCTCATAGACGCGAATCCAGATCCCGTTGTGCCAGTCCTGCCGCAATCGCAGCAGCGCCGCCGGGTACTCCATCTCCTCGACGCTCTCGCGGAAGTAGACCACGTACTTGTTGTCGGGCTCCACGACCCGGGTGACGGTGCCGACCCACCAGCCATCGCGGTCGTAGGCCTCGATCGCGTCCCCCTCGTCGAACTTGGCCGCCGGGGCCGCCGGGGGAATGGGCCTCACTTGCGCCAGCGGCACGCATTCCTCGAGCGGCGCGTCGGAGCTCTCCCCGATGAGCGTGCGGTAGCGCACCCAGCAGCTCTTGTTGCTCTTCTTGAGAAGCGTCGCCTCGTACCAGCTGCCCAGAAACCCCGCCTCGTCGCTGCGTACCTCCACGCGCTCGCCCTTGCGCAGCCGATTCCCCGCCGCCATGCCGCCGAGGAGCACGCGGGGCGATTGAAGCAAGACCGCTGGCGATTCACTAGTCAGGCCATCGCGCACAAAGAGAGAGATTTTTAGGGCCCGGAAAAATATCTATCGAAATATGCCACCTGGTAGCAGAATATGCCGTTTTATGTTGGGGACGAAGTGTCTCAAGGATCGTGTGAAATTTTTACATCTTTTTAACATTAATTATTTTTTATATAACAATCCAATAAAAATTAGGTTTTTTTTTTTGCAATGTTATCATAAATATGATTTCGATACTTATTGACTAATCCTTATGAAACTCTCTCTTTATTGCCATAACAGTAGGAGATTATTATTGTGGGTTCCCTTTATTGGCCCCTCTTGTGTTACTTGGACATTTTAAGTGTATTTAGACCAAACTGAATTTTTATATATTATTAACCAAACATATTTAGCTTGATAAAGAGTTTTTATTTCATTGTGTCATGCACTAACTAGTGACAAAAACCCTTGCATATTGAGAGTTGGAATGTGAGAGCGTCATGAGGTACCCATGTTTACGTTAAGCTATTCATATGTAAAAATTGTGCTAGACACTATTGTTTTGCATATATAGGAGTTGGTTTACATATGTTTAATGAAGCATTCTACAACAAATAAACATCAAGAGAGAAATTTTTATAATGTTGTTGGTTCTATAAAAGTCAATCATAACTTGTAGGAAGTTCTATTTTTCTATAGGGCCTAAAACTTCTTTGATTTCCAAGAATTCTAGCAAAAAAACTACTTGAGCGTGGTGTTGGAGGTATCATCAAGAATAAATTTATGTGCTTGTGGTCCATTAACAACACTAAGATTACCTATATATCTACTGGTAGTCAATATCACAATATGTTAACTTTGAGCTGCATGATATTCATAGTTAAAGAGAAATAAATTACACCAGGTTGGTGAATAGGAGAACCTCATTGGAATATCTACCATATATTTTATATATAGGTGCCAAGTCTAATATTCAAGTTAGAAGCTAACCATGTAGTAATATCCAAAATGAAAATTTAAAATCCTTAGGAATAAACATCAAAATTATACAAAGGTCATGGCATTCTAATGTACATTTTACACTGGTTAGCATGGATATTATTCATTACTAGATCAATCAACTTTCTTCTAAACCTGGTAAAACCAAGAGCATTTTGTTATATTAGCATTAAGAAGGCAAGATGTCTTTTAGTAGATTCTAATATAAATTCTTAGTTGAAGTCACTAACCTGAATGCCTTTGTTTTGATTGTGCTAGAATATCACATTCCAAGAAATTGCAATGTGTTTGCATTTTGATAAGCAACATCTAATATAGCTGTGATCATGTAAGGTTTCTATATAGATAGTCTACTGTGTTAGGAAGCACACTCTACCAGCTCCACCACTAGGGAACACAAGGCTTTAGTCTGGAAAAACAAGCATTACATTGGGACTTCAGAATATTTAACTTAGACATCCTTCTTAGTTTCTTGAATGTGTAATTATTGTCATGTATTATACTCCATTTACTAAATTTATTATTCATATATAGCATCTATGCATCACATAGTCCTTTTTTAGAATATTATTTATGAAAATATACTTTTAATCTGATGGTTAATATTTGAAAGCTTCAACTTGGATTAAAACCCATGCCAGAAAGGGTCAATTATATTTTTGTGAAGTTCCAAATGTTTAGGGCTGCAAACTCTCTCTCTCTCTCTCTCTCTCTCTCTCACTCACACACACACACACACACACACACACACACACAGAGGGGTAAATAGAGTTTTTCATTTTCTAGGCATATGACTATTATGTATAGTGGCTTGTATGCAATGTTATTGCACTATAGAGGTTTTTAGTTAGAAACATGTGTCTAACACTTAAATTTCATAGTGATTATTCTCATAACAAAGGCATTATTTCTCTATTTATGTAGCTCTAACAATGTACTATTTTTTCCACAAAGAAGCTTCATAGCAATGAAAAATATCATGTGGATTCTAGCTTGCATTCCTACAATGATTATTGCATGAGATCATGTCAGTAGCATTGAAAAGAAAGTTTCATAATTAAAAACAATTTATTTACAGTACCTTTAGTATTATGTAAGACATAAATCCCTAAGCCCCAAAGTGGAGTTGAAAGTGTCCTATATGATAGTGGCTAAAGCGGAAGTCTAATAAGCATAACACATTTGGACCAAAGTTTCGACTTAAAAAGTCAAGAGTAAGAGTGGAACTTCTAAAGTAGTGCTCAAGAAATTAGTATGAAACAATTAGTAAATGAGTCTCTCAAAAGAAACACAAGAAAAATTAATACATAACAAGTGTTGTGACACATGGAAGTGTCAAGATTGAGTTTGAGATTGAGTCCAAGATCAAGTCTAAGACCAAATTCAAGACCAAGTCCGAAATGGAGGCCAAGATCAAGTGTAAGGTGGAGTCCAAGGCCAAGTCCAAGATGGAGGTCAAGACCAGGTCCAAGATGGAGTCTGAGTACAAGATTGAGACCAAAATCAAGACCAAATCCGAATTTAAGTTTAAGTTTGAGTCCGAGTTTAAAGATAAAAGCCTAAAGGAATTATCTCCCAAACCTAGAGGGTTTGGTGAGTATCTGTAGGTTAGGGGCTAAGAGGACTCTAATAAAACCAATGGGGCTAGGAAAGGCTAATGTCACCAAAGAAGGCTATACTCAATAATGATATAACCACTAAAGAGTCCAAGGCTAGAGTGAATATAAATGCACAAATAGGGTGATTTGGTGAAGTGTTAAAAAATTGACTTTAACTTGGACTACCAATAAGGCAAGTGTGAATGGACATGGCCTTAATGTAAAAGGTTGAAATGTTTATAGTACCTTTGGGTGTCCGAAGTGGAATTGAACATATAAAATATTTAGATCATGTGTGAAGTTGGCTTGAGTTTATGATCCCATTTGGGGGTTAGCAAGTACCCCAAATCAGGATAAGGACCCATAGAGGTTGTGAGTGAGACTCCTCAAAATAGCCAAAGGTATGCTAAAGTAGAATGGAAAATTTACAACTTCGTATCAAAGTGGTCTTAAGTTTGACTCTATTAATTGGCATAGGGAAATTACACCACATGTTAAAATTGATATTTAGCAATTCTATTAGCTTCATTCATGAAGGAGTGAATTTGTAAGGAAACATGGTGAATTGTAAGCAACCAAAGAGAATGACTCAAGAAATGATTTATAAAAATTCAAACATAAAAGAAAAAAACTTATGAATAAAAATACACCTTTTTCCAATTGGTTAAAAGTTTTGGAATAACATAAGATAATCATAGAGTGGAATGTAAACCCTTAGATAGGACCAAAGGCAGCAAAGCAAAACCCAAGTTTCAAAGCCTTTAACCACTAAACAAAGAGACAGAGCCAAATTCCTAAATATACAACCAAGGAGCAAAGGAATTGAAGCATATAATGACTCTTGAGTATACAACCTAACATGAGCACAAAGTAACATTAGAATAGTCTTAGAGCATTCAACATCCTAATGCCATAACCAACACACAAAATAGAGCTAAATAGAGGATAACATTATTTTAGCATACTAATGTTTTAACACAAGGATATAATTATTCCACCAGCTAACATAGTATAGAGTTTGAACTTAGATTAAGCTAAATATAAAATAAGGATATATATATTTAAATAATGCCTTCAATTGGTCAGCTATACTCGACCTATAACTTACTAAATATGCAATGGCGCTAAATTACAAATTTAAATGTGAGAA